AAGTCTGCAACGCCCGCGTCGCGTGTCCTGTTAGACCCGGGGTTTATGGCTTCAGATAGCGCGTCCGGCCGCCAACGCCCTCGTCCCCTTTCTCTGGTCCTGCCCGGCTCCGCCCCAACGGCCCGGCTCCCCGGTCGCGGGGAAGGAGCCTGGTGGGGTTTTCCAGCCTTGGGGCTCGACTGCCTTAGGGGCCCCGAGGACCGGACCCTTCCCCGCGGGCCTGCGAGGCATTGTGGGAACGGGGAGAGGGAAGTCCCGGGGCAGAGTGGTGCCCGTGGAAACCGGAGTTCTCCAGGATCCTGGGGCACCCTGTTCCTAGGGGGTGGTCGAGGTGACCCTGAGTTGATTTTTTTTTGAGTTGGGAGTCTCACTCTGTCGCCCAGACTGGAGCGCAGTGACATGCTCCTGGCTACCGCAGCCTCGACCTGCTGTGCTCAGGCCATCCTTCTGCCTCAGCCTTCCAAGTAGCTGGAAGTACAGGCAGGTGCCACCATGCCCAACTAATTTTTTGATTTATTGTAGAGGTGAGGTCTTGCCAAGTTGCCCAGGCTGGTCTCGAATCCGTGGGCTCAGGCATTCCTTTCACCTCGGGCCCCCAAAGTGCGGGGATTATAAGCGTGAGCCACCACTCCCACCTGAGTTGACTTCTTGACTGCGTTGGGCAAGCTCTGGGGTCCTTATGGAGAGCAGAGAGCACGGGCCTTGGAGTTCGATTCTTGGTTTACACTGCCCTGCCCAAGTCTTGTTTCCTCATCTGTAAAATGGGCACGAGAATCCCTAAATCAAAGAGTTTTGTTTCTTCAAGCATAGAAAGTATGTAAAGGTCCAGCAGTGCTTGGCCTACCTACATCAAGCATTCTTTTAGGGTAGGATGTTCCGATCACTTATTTTTTATAATTCTGAGGCAGAACAGAACCACTGGGGGAGAAAAGGAATTGACTGAGAAGGATGATGGGAACTGGACTGTATGTACCGTTAAGACATCTTTCTTTTCTAAGTCTTCCCAAGTTAAAGAGAGTTAACATTTTGGGTTGATCAAAAAATATATTCCTCTTCTTTTTTTTTTTTTTCTTTTTTTTGAGTTGGAGTCTCACTCTGTCACCCAGACTGGAGTGCAGTGGCCGCTCCCGGCCACCGCAGGCTCAACCTGCTGGGCTCCGGCGATCCTTCCGCCTCAGCCTTCCAAGTAGCTGGAACTACAGGCGCGCGCTACCATGCCTGGCTCATTTTGATTTATTGTAGAGATGAGGTCT